CCTTTCTCTTCAGCAGTGTATCTAGACGTCCTCCCTTTTTCTGTGGTGGTAATAGGGACCGTCTCAGGCAGACTCTCTCCACTTATAAGCTGAATGGCATTGACGTGTTCTCGTGGATTCGGTTCGGGCTTTCCAGAAAATGTGCCCTGTTGTCTAGAGGGTTCTGATGCAAGCTGCGCAATCTGCATGTCCACATGCTTCAGATGAGCCTCGACTCCATCTAATCTCCTCTCAAAAGTGTCTTGCCTGACTTTTATACTCTGTATCTCGGTCTTCAACTCAGTAAATGATGTCTTCTGATCGAGTATTAGCTGGGCAAGCATCGTCTTGATGTCCGCTTCATCATTCTTCGCAGGTTGAGGCGCTCGGTAACCCTGATTCTGCTGCCGTATCCTGGATTCTGCTGCGCATATCCTTGATTCTGCCCCTGAAAACGTGACTGAGTGAAGCCTAGGGGATTCTGAGGGATTCTGGAAATGCCCTGCTGCTGTGCATTCAATGCTCCACTCGGGTATCCATAGGAGAAACCGGGGTGATTCCTAGGCGCGTTCGGGTTGTAGAGATTAGAAGGATTCTGGTATTGATTCCTTCCTATGTAGTTGACGTCCTCAACCGGATCTTCCTCTGATGTGGTCTGATCAACCAGAAACATACCAGGCTGGACTTTCTGCGGGTTAGATGTATTCTTGAGTCCCATATGTTGCTTGATTGCCGATAAATCAGACATGACCGTTTTCAAAGCAGCGGACTCGCCCAAATCTACCCGTCCTGCAGAACGTCTGATCTCCTGACATCCCTCTTGCTTTAGCCATCTTCGCAATCTGCATCTCTAGGGTGTAAAAGGGAATGTCGTATACACTCCCTCGACAAGCTGCATCCATCCATGCTCTAGTATCGTCTCTTAGTCCGTGGATGAACGTGGAAAGCAACAGTCACTTATCCATGCCGTGGTGTGGACAAAGGCGCTGATAGCCTTTGAATCTCTCCCATGCGTGGTAGAGACTCTCATCACTCTCCTGAGTGAAGCTGTGTATGGCTCTATGTGCGGCGCGGGTCTTCTCTGGTGAGTAGTATTTTGCCATGAATTGCTCCTCTAGCTCCTCCCATATCGTGATCGAGTTTGGCTCAAGGGTGTAGAGCCAATCTTTTGCCCGGTCCATCAGTGAAAAAGGAAAAGCCTCCAAATAGACATCCTCAATGGTCATCCTTCTGGCTTTCCTAACTGATCTGCACAACATCTTGAACTGAGTCAAGTGAGCAATGAGATCTTCTGTGGGCCGCCCTCTAAAACTCGTCTGACTGAACATCGTGATGCACTGTGGCGGTAGCTCGAAACTGTCTATGGGCGGTCTGTTGATGCATGATAGTTGTAGGGTGTGCTTCGGTGCAATGTAAGAACCCAAAGTCTCCTCTGCAACGTATGTAGCTTCGCCCTCAGTCTGCTGATCGTAGAGTGGATTCATGTGCTCTTGATTCTCTTGATGCTCCTCATCATGAACCGCATGGTCGTGCGAACTACTTGACCTCGACATATCTTCTCTTCTCTGCTGATTTCGGATATCTCTCAAGGTACGCTCAATCTCTGGATCGTAGACTAAGTCTTCTCTCCGAGTAGAGCTCCATGTCATGCACTAGAACCCTGCAAACCGCAAAGAAAAAGAAGGACTCGAGACCAAGTGAATTCACAAAAAACCAAAGAAAAACAAAAAGAAAAAGAAAACAATCAAAGATCTAGAATCAATAAAGACCTAGAAATAGGCTAACCAATCCCCGGCAACGGCGCCAAAAACTTGATACGTGTGTACCGAGTCTAGAATTTATAACCCGATTCACAACTCACCGCAAGGATACGGATCGTCGTAACACGGGGTCGAACGCAAGGACCGGTAGCTAATGATGCGCACGCACCGAGTCTTATATTTAGTACCCGATTCGTACCACTATCCGCAAGTATACGGTAATTATAGTACCGAGGTCGAACACGAGGACTAGGATGTATTAGTCTATCTCTAAGCTAGATTAGGTGGTCGAGTAAAGATGTGGTTTATGGTAAGTGTCGGAATAAAAGAAAGCAAGTAAAATCAACGGTTTGTAAATGATGAATTTAGGCGTTGTAGAGAATTCATCGGTCTACTAACTCCCTACCTACAGAGTAACTCGTCAATCTCTCGATCTATTCAAGTTAACCCTAGGTGCATAAAGAACGCTATCATCAACCCTAGATCGATTAAATCATATCTCTATGTGAATAATACGATCTATCCTATTGATTTTGATCCGAAACCAACTCATATCTCTATGTAGTTTAGAATCTAAGATAATTGACCAAGGGGTTAGCAAACATCAATCCAATAAAAGCGCAAATCAATAGAACCCAAACAAATCAAAACCGAAATCCAAGTTAGGGTTCAAACATACCCAAAACACAAACGAATCCCTAACCCATAGTTCTACTCACGGTTCATAGAAAACAATAAAAAGAACAGAGAAAAGGAGATAAAAGAAAGGAGAGAAAAGCTCATGTAGATGTGTAGTCTGCACGATCGAATCTTCCTCCTTCTTCCCGAAATCCCGTGAACTTCTGATAACACGCAATATATACAACGTAGACATGCATTCATCTGACGTATTTATCCAGTTTTACATCATTAGGAATGTTCAATTGCGTGTTTAGCCTTGATTCTCGCTTAGTTAATATATAATTGCAGGTACAAGCAATAGGAGCGAAATAAAGGACAAAAATCCTGGAAAAGAATGAGCTATGACGCTACACAAGATCGTGTTATTTGTACTCACACGATCGTGTCTCATCATCCAGAAAACCACCATCAGATCAAGAGTTCACCCGATCGTGCCACATCCCGACACACGATCGGGTCATTTTGCCAGGACAAGAATCACATCGAAGGTTCACCCGATCGTGTCTCCTGCACACACACGATTGGGTCAAGTCGCGAAAACCTGACTCAGGAATTACAATCTCACACGATCGTGTCTCCCCCAACTCACACGATCGTGTAACTTACATGATTCTTCGGGAATATTTCCAAATCTGACCAGGAAAGAAAGACTTAACTAGGTCAAGCCTCCAGAGAGGGATTCATTCAGACTTTTCACAGAAAACAGACCTAGAGCACACCAAAAGGGGGAGATTACCAAGAAGCAAGAGATTGGAGTAGAAGACGGAGATCACGAAGCCGAGAAATCGACTAAGTGTTTCTTCCTTATCCTATTTTACAATGTCTTGTTGTATTGATATGAACCCTGTCAACTCGATGTTTAGCGAGTAGTTCCTTTGCTGTAGGTTAGGGATTTGCTATGTAGGGATCTTTGGTTTTTAATTCCAGACTTTATGGATTTATTATTCTATTCAGTTTATTGAGTTGATCTTAATGCGTTTGATCTTGTTGGCCGCTTGATTGAATGATCTTAGGGTTTTAATTCACATAGACGTATGGGATTCTAACCTGGAACTAATTCAATAAATAGAACAGGTATCACATCGGGAGATGGGTATTTGCCTAGGAATTATGATAGCGTTCGTTCATGCATCCAGAGTTTTAGACTATTGAATCGGGAGATTAGTAGGATTAAACCTGGATAGTGAGATTAGACTTGGAAGAGCTAAACTCTACCTTAGAGCTTGAATTCCCTGAATTGGATAAATAAACCACTAAGTTTGCATCCTTTGAAAGATCCTTGCATGTAAAGCAATCCCGAAGCCTGCAGTATTCATCATTCATAGTCTTTGAATCGTTTTATCGTTTGCTTTGCTACGCTTCTCACTCTCATATTATCTCCTCTGGATCTAGATTTGGATTGAGATTTAATTTAGTTGTCAACTTGTCCCTGTGTTCGACCCTAGCTACTACGCACGATCCGTACACTTGCGGTTAATTGTTGAGTCTAGGAATATTATTACTTGATCATATTTCTGCACCTAGATTTACGACATCAAGTTTTTGGCGCCGTTGCCGGGGACAATTTAGGCAATAGGATTAGATCATATCTAGTTCGGATCTTGTTTTATTTCTCTTTTTCTTAGGTGATTTCTCACGTTTTCCTCGTTTGTTCTCGTTTTTCGTTTGGTGCACAGGTTTTTCTAGTGCATGACCAGGAGTGTTGGGACGTCAGACCTGATACCTCTTGATCGTGAGCTCGAAAGGACCGTTAGACACATCCGACGTCAACAAAGACAAATGGAGAACAATCGAGATCTCGCTCTTCCCGATGACGTCGAGGGCAATGCTGACTCGACTTTTGCTCAGTACAACACGCTGAAGCACACCGAACTTATGGCCGGTATACGACTACCGACCATCGATATGACTCGTTTTGAGCTCAACCCAGTTACCATTCAGATGCTCAGCAATAATTCCTTCCGGGGTAGGCCAAACGAAGACCCAAACGCACATCTCACGCGTTTCAAGATGATGTGCCGCTCGATCAAAAGAGAAGCCAGGATAACAGACGATGACCTCCGTCTACTCGCTTTTCCCTGGACTCTCATGGATGCTGCACTGGAATGGCTATACGATTTAACACCTGATTCCATCCACACTTGGGATCAATTAGAAGTTCAGTTCATGTCCAAATTCTTTCCAGCCCATCGCACTCAAGCAGCCCTTTCCGGTATACATTCATTTAAGCAAGATCAAAGGGAGAGTTTACACGATACTTGGAAGCGATACAAAGGATATCAGAAATCATGCCCTCATCATGGACTTGACAAGAATTATCTGATCAACACTTTCTTCCGGGGCTCCGCAACGATACTAAGACTTTGATTCGCGCCTCTTACGGTGGCAGCATCCAAAATAAGTCATTCACGGAATTGGAATAGCACGTTGAAATGATGGCTCAAGAGGAAGACATTCCGAGTGAATATTCTCGCGATATACCAAAAAGAGAAGGTGATCCCAGTTTGAAGATGGTGATCGATCAATTGGTAGCACTTAATGCTAAATTTGCGAATGCCAGCTTGATTTCGACCACAGATGCCCATACACTCCCCCAAGATGATCTCGGCATGTATGCAGTGGAAGAGAGAACCGAAGACCTCAACTATGTGAACAACAACACCTACACGAACTCATATAATCCAGGGTGGCGGAATCATCCTAATCTCTCTTACAAGTCCAACAACGTCGAGAATCCTGCACCAAATAATCCGAGGGCATCCCATAATCCGAATCAGAGGATCCCACCCGGTTTTGCTTTTCAATCCAGGGGTCCAAATCAGAACTCCAACTACAGAGCTCCGGGGCAGACCTTCAACAATCCTGCACCTTCTGATAATCGTGACCTTTCTCAGGATACATATGCTCTTATTCAGCAACGCATGCAGGAACAGACAAAGACGACACATGAATTCCGCACTCAATTCACGAGCATCGATGCCCATTTTAAGCTCGTAGACAATCAGATTGCCCAGTTGGCAGCAGACTCTCAAAGACCGTCCGGCACCCTTCTAGGTAAACCCGAAACCAATCCTCGCGAACATATTAATGCCATCACTTTGCGAAATGGTAAACAGGTAGACACTCAACCATCCACAATGGTCGAGCAGAGAGAGGTTTTGAATGATCATGCTAGTCCAGAAGGCATACCCGAACCGGCATACGTACCCCCTCCTCCTAGGCCTCCGCCGGTACCGTTTCCGTCTCGCCTGAGGAAGCATAACGAAGACAACCAATTTGCTAAATTCGCTGAGATGCTAAAGAAACTCGAGGTAACCATGCCCTTTACTGAAGCTATTTTACAGATTCCCTCGTATACCAAGTTTTTGAAGGACATCCTGACCAAGAAACGAGTCGTCGAGAAAGAGACTGTAGCTCTCACTGTAGAGTGTAGTGCGTTGATACAACACGAGTTACCACCCAAGCGCTCTGACCCAGGTAGTTTTTCAATCCCTTGTACGCTAGGTAACGTCTACATCGATAGTGCTTTGTGTGATTTAGGTGCCAGCGTCAGTCTTCTTCCACTCTCCATCTTTAAGAAGCTGAACGTGGGTGAACTAAAACCCACTCGAATGGCTCTCCAGTTGGCTGATCGTTCTGTTAAGTACCCTGCTAGAATTCTTGAAGACGTCCCTTTGAAAATCGGGAATTTCTACATTCCGGTTGACTTCGTGGTTCTGGACATGGACGAAGATTCTAAAGTACCCATCATTTTAGGTCGACCTTTCCTTAACACTGCCGATGCTGTTATCCACGTTCGAGCAGGTCGCCTTCCTGGTGACGAGACGGTGGAATTCACTCTAGACAAAACCCTCAAGCAACCGTCATCTACAGAATCTGCTTGTTTCATTGATATCCTGGGAGCTCTAACCGAAAAGGTAATACACCAATTTCATCGTGATGATCCTTTAGCACTAAATCTTCTTTCGCAGGATAGCATCTACGTCGCTATAGACCAGATGTGGATCTACGGACATATTTTAGAGCATGATGAATTTCTAGGAAATCTCGAATTAGACACGATCGTGTCATTGGCGTGTCAACTCCTCGGATAGTTCCGAAAAACAACCCGATCGCGTCTCTCAGTCAACACGATCGTGTCATGGTGCTTCAACACCCGACAAATTTCAGCAATCTCACCCGATCGTATCTGTTGCGATATACGATCGTGTCGCATCTCCCTGCTCAACACCACACGATCGCGTCTCCAGACATCACCCGATCGTGTCACACCTCAGATACCCTACCTAGTCCAACTTCCATGCACACCAACCCTCTAGCCTCCACCGACCCCGGTATGTCTTTCGATCCCTTGACTGGCTCTATCTTTACAGTCATAACCTCTCCCAGGTCCGATGATTGGAATCCAGACTGTGCACCGGATCTTGAATTGAAACCTCTTCCGAAAGGACTCCAGTATGAATACCTTGGTCCCTAATCCACATACCCGGTTATTATTAACGCTGACTTGGATTCCTCCCAAGTCGATCTCTTGCTAGCAACTCTGCGCAAATATAGAAAAGTGATAGGATACACGATCGGTGATATCAAAGGCATCAGTCCATCTTTGTGTATGCATCAGATTCATCTTGAAGATGAGACGAAAACATCCATTGAACATCAACGTCGCCTCAACCCAAAGCTTCAAGAGGTCGTCAAGAAAGAAGTTATGAAGCTTCTAGACGCAGGTATCATCTTTCCTATCTCCGATAGCTCTTGGGTTAGTCCTGTGCAGGTGGTACCAAAGAAAGGCGGGATGACAGTCATTAAAAACGATCGGAACGAATTAATACCGACAAGGACTGTCATAGGATGGCGTATGTGCATTGATTACAGAAAACTTAATGCCAATGCAAGGAAGGATCATTTTTGTGACACCCGTAACCCGTGTACAGTATACGGACTGTGCCACATGGACGATGTAAGGTAAAATAATAAACTAATAAATGGCGGAAGCGAAAATTCCAAAAACATTAAAACATTTTCAGTTAAAAGCGGAGTAGCAGCGGAAAATACAAAGCGATTAGTATCGCAATAAGTCACATGTCCGAATATTCATAATACAACCGTACAAAAGCCGAAACGATAAGTCCTTAATTCAAAATACAAATCCCGTACGTGATGCTGCTTCTCTCGGTTCGTCGTCTGCTGAGGCGCTAGGCGTAATCCTCGTGATCTGAAAAATGTAAACCACGAGGGCTAAGCACAACTGCTTAGTGAGTAGCCCGGGTTGAACCCGGAAATCCCGTTCTCAACGAGAACGGTACAATCGACACTTTCCAAATACACATGCAACGAATATATCAACACAATAATCACATCAATAGCAACCACAAACACGTCCGTATGGAATCCACCATAAGGCCTA